TACTGACTGACTGACCGACTGACTGACAGTATTTTATTTTAGGCTATGAAAGCTTCATCTCCCACTTCATCTTTCCTGATAGACGGATTTCCAAGAAATGAAAACAACCTTGAAGGTTGGCGGAAAGAAATGGACAACAAAACGAAACTTATTGTCGTATTGTTTCTGGAGTGTTCGGAAGAAGTTAATTGATTCTTTCCTTAAAATTAACTTTTTAAATCGAGTTCTGTTCAGGAATGCGTCAAGCGCTGTTTAGGTCGTGGCGAGGGTCGTTCAGATGACAACGAAGAAAGCTTGAAGAAGCGCATTCAAACCTATCATAATAACACGGTTCCCATTCTCAGGTATTATGAATCGCTAGGGTACGTGAGGAAAATCGACTCCTCGCATGAACCTGAAAAGGTAATTTGCTACAATTATGCTTTATTATTTTTATATGTTGTACATTTAGACCTTTGCCCAGATCGAAAACGTTTTCAAATCTCTAGGGTTTAAGCCCCAATCGTAGCCTTGTTGTTTCTAGTTTTCACTTTTTACGGTTTTACTCTCGTTTTGGAGTTATGTTTACTCGGGGTGTTCTTTTGCGCTGTAGGCTTTCATAGTCCACAGATTTCTAAGTTGTGTGATCGGAAACTGTTGGATATTATTTTGTTTGTTTCTTGATGATGGCTGTTACTTTCGCTTATTTAAATAAACTACAGTCCACAATGTTTCACTAAAATTTTGTAATATGTTTTGTTTCAAAGTCGTTCAGCTGCAGCAGCTGTCATGTTTATGACTGCAGCTGAAATCTGTTAATTTGTCTGCAATTTCTTCAGTGAGGTTACTTGCTTATGATCATATTTCTGTGACTCTCATTCACCCGATTTGTACTTTTTGCGGGCGTGAAACGCAGAGTTTGACACTCCTACAGTGTTCTTTTTTGTTGACTATTCTTTGATGAGGGGGTGTTTGGAATCCGTTCAAGGCGTCAGTCCTTATCAACTATTCTACATGTGTCCTTGACCTTCCATTAGACCATCGAATTCAAGAAAGTGAGGCACTTTGTGAGGTTAGGTCATTTGCAGATCGTTGGCGACTGACAGCAACCACTGTTTCAACCTACCATAGAAGGCTCTTGCATCACTGTGATGTTCTCACTTCAGCAGTAGTTCTGTAATCATGTGATTATTATTCTCCCCAATTGTTGAAACGTTGACAGAATCAGATATGATATTGACTAGTTGAGGAAGACTAGCGCAAGGCTGTTTTGACCATGTTAGGTCTAAGGATTAATAATCCAGCTGACGTTTGAATGATAATATTAGAAATGAACATTGTTCATGCTCTTTGGGTTTTCAAGAACTGAAAACATGCGTTATTTTGCGTAATGCGATGCACTTCACTGTATAAGAGCCAAACTTCAGAAATGAGGAACAGTACCCCTTCTGAAACCTCTTGTATGTTTTACATTACATATAAGAAGAAAAATCATCATCTAAGAAGCATAGTTAGGGATGTATCCGAAACAACTTTTGAAAATGCTGATTCATGTGGTGGAGAGTGCTAATAGAAAATGCAGTGTTGAACTCTACGTTTCTCGACGTGTTGCGTCACCGCTTTGTTTTTAGCTTCAAATTAACCGTTTAAGTTGGCATCGGTTTCAGAACATCCCTGCTGTGCGTCTGGCGTCATTTTATTCATTATCAAAGGAAGGTTTTTAGCTGTTGGAATGTCGATGTTCTTTACACTTTCATGGTGTATCCACTTCTTGTGCCTTTTTTTTAATGTTAATATTTGAACACTGGTTTTCAGTTCCATTCTAGCAATTTTTCATTTTCAGTAAGAGAGTCGACAGCAATATGCGTCAAGCATGACGCGTTGTCTCATGTTTCCTTCCATTGAAGTGATACTCAATTATCAGCCTCGAAAGGAGGAAAAGCAGGTGATTCGATCGAGGCTCGAATCCGGGTTCTGAGTCTGGTGCTCACTTCTTAAGGAATGTCGGTCTTTTCTTCTTCCTTGAAGCACTCTCCTGCAATCGAAGTTTTTCTAGGTGGTACTCCCTGTATGAAATGACGAAGGATTGCTGAGTGTTTAAAAAGTCGGTATTAAATATAGAATGTGATAAATGTAAAAATGTTTTTGAAGCATAAAACTTCGGACCGAATAGGAGCACCGTTTGTACGAAATTGTTTAAGAGATCTTCAGCCTTGCCAGCGGGTAGCAAACCTTAATGCGTTACGAAAACATGAAAAAATTGGACGCAGCACCCTATGCGTCTTTCGAGCCGTTCCACGGTGGCGCTTTGATTGCTAATGATTCGACAATAGATTTCTAAGAATATTATGAAAAACCGCCATCTGGTAAACAGACCTAGATTTCTCTTGCCGTTTGCACCAACAACGGCAGAATTCTGGCAGTGGGAGAAACATTAAACCAGTTAACGGAAGAAAGGTCAGGGGTTGCTAGCGACATCCTTTGCCTGTACGAGACACCACGACGGAAAGAGATGATTAGCATGCGAAAGGCAGTCAATAAATGGAGAGAGGACCAAGAGCATAACGAAAATTCAGATTTGTAGAGAACAATAGTTGGTCCTTAAAAATCGTCTCCTGCCATGTAAAGTAGTCAAGACTGTGCTTTCTGTCTCTAACTTGACAAGTACAGCGATGAAGAGGAAGTGTAAGAATTTGATGAAAAGAAGTGGAACGGGGAGTGGCTCCTAAGTCCACATATGATAGCTAATCGTGGACAACAACCAATGGAATTTGAGGAGGCGCATTTCCAGCGAAGACGAGTCTGAAAGACAGCTGCAATGGCGACTATGAGATGTTCGTCGAGAAACTGAGGTGGCTGCTACGTAAAGTTAGCCGAGGTGATAACATCAAAGAGAGCTAAAGGAGCGATATCAGAAGAGACGAAAAGTTTTCCAGAGAAGCGGCGGAGAATGAAGGTTGATGTAGCCGATATGCTAGAATTCTCTCTTGTTTGCAAGCTCATTTGACTGTAGCTGAATGAGGACTTCGAAACCTTCCGATTGTGAAAATTAGAGGAAATCGCGGAAGTCTCAGCCAACGCAGGAGACAGTTGTCGCTTTATCGGTGGATTATCACGGCTCTGATGAAGAGAATGGCGCATTAACGTCTGACAGGGTTAAGATGTAATATATCTGAAAGAAATTTTGCATTCAGCTCTTTCCGTCAACGACAGCTCCCATCCACCGTCCTTCCAACAGCCAGAAGAAAGTACATTCCCGGTCTTCATTGGTGAAGTTCGGTCTAATGCGCAGAAAATAAATGAAGTGATATCCCCAGACATAGACGGTCTGACAATTTAAACTATCAGAGCATGTGGTCAGACAGTACGGAGGGTTCTGTTGGAGACATTCAGTTTCTACCTAGAAACGGAAAAGATACTACGAAGCTGGAAGGAGTCAAAAACAATCGTGCTGTTCAAGATGGGCGAGAATAAAGATCTGAAAAACTGTTGCCTCGTCTACAATCACAGTCTACAAGATCTTCACCCAGGATCATCACCGGCAGATCGTCAACGAGTCTGAACAAATAGCAAACAGGACTGTGAAGCCCTTACAGCACAACTGGTAACATCGTTACCTTAAATCAACACTGAGCGCGTCAGAGAATGTCAGCTTCCTCTGTCAACGACGAGAAAGCGTTCGACGCTGTAGTTACAGCGCATTGTGGATTGCGGTAGCAGCACAGATCATACACACCCATTATATCGACCTGCTAAAAGAATGGAACCCTAGCTGCTTCACAAACCTTACGCTTTTCGACACCCCTCCGGTTTCATGCAGTGGAAGGCGTGAAACAGAGAACGCCATCTCCTCTGAACTCTTCACTGCCTTTTTGGAAATGGTGTCACGTAGGATGAACTGGAAAATGAACTAATGACATGGTGCTGTTTATGGAACACGCCAGTCGTCTACAAGGAAAATATTACAGAAGCTCTACAAACAGTGAAATAGCGGAAGTTCGAATCAATCCGCCAAAGACGAAGTTACTGTGATCTGGATGCGTTGTCAAACACCCAGGTATTATTGAATGGTGGAAAGATGAAAAATGCATGAAGTCCATATATTTATACACA